ACTCATTTCTGAAGTGAACTAGTGTGTAGCTATTCAGCTGAATTCAGCAGTCTGAAAGTTCACAGAGAAAATAGCCCCTTTTTCCTCTCTGCAAACTGATTTATTTAAAATGCATACATCTATATGATGCATATAGATCATGTTCTCATTTGTGTACAAGATACAGGCAGCTACAGATTACAATAACAGCTGATGAACAAGCTACTGCTGCCACCTCTAATCTGTTCTAAGTCTCTGCTCGCTTAGCTGACCTCAAGTGGGGAAGCAGGTGCTCTTTGTGGTAGTCAGTGTTCAAAGCTTTTAGGCTGTGTCTAGACTGGTCAGTTTTTCCGGAAAATCAGCCGCTTTTCCGGAAAAACTTGCCAGCTGTCTACATTGGCCGCTTGAATTTCCACAAAAGCACTTACTTCCTACTGTAAGAAATCAGTGCTTCTTGCGGAAATACTATTCTGCTCCCGTTCGGGCAAAAGTCCCTTTTGCACAAAGCTTTTGCGCAAAAGGGCCAGTGTAGACTGCTCAGATTTGTTTTCCGCAAAAAAGCCCCGATTGCGAAAATGGTGATCGGGGCTTTTTTGTGGAAAAGCGCGTCTAGATTGGCACGGACACTTTTCCGGAAAAAGGTGCTTTTGCAGAAAAGCGTCCGTCCCAATCTACACGCTCTGTTCCGAAAATGTTTTTAACGGAAAACTTTTCCATTAAAAGCATTTCCGGAAAATCATGCCAATCTAGACACAGCCTTAGAGTTTATTGGTCAAAATCAACACCTGGGAACAGCCTGGAAGTTGGTGCTGACTTGTAAGCACTGAATGCCACTGTTAAGTAAGTGGGGTTCTATAGTCTGTCTCGGATGAGAATTCCAAATGGTTTTCAGGTTAAGCCTCAAACAGAGTCCATTATAATAATTAATCTGGAAGTGACATGAATAACAGTGGCCAAATATATGTATGAGAGAAAAGGTCACAATCTCCTAGCCAAGGAAAAAGGCACTCTTGGCAACCGATGCTTTCTGAACATCGAGAATCAGTCCAGGCATCAATAATGCCTCTGAATAATAATAGGTTAACACATTCCTTTAAGTGATGGAGCCAATATGATCTTTCCCATTTCCTCTAGTTACTTCTTGTACCCACCAGCATTACCTCTTTTCCCTCATATTGAGTCCTGGCTAACCCGTTTTCATTCAAGCATCTAAGTTCTGGGAAAACAAACAAATATAGTAACTGGGACTGGTGAAACTGAGTAATACAGCTGTGTGTCAGCCACATCTAGAAGTGAAAAAAACTTTAAAAAAAAAACCCAGCTAGTCCTGCAGCATCTTAGAGACGAACAAAAAATGAAGATAATGAACAAAATGAAGTGAATTCACTCTGCAGTTCCTCATGTATCTTAATGCCTTACTATACCCATTGATAAAGAGATATGACAGAACAGAACTCGTAGTACCCTGCATGAGAGAGCTGTAGGCATGGATGAGAAATCATCTAAAATTATTCCTTGGGGTCTCAAACAGGAAAAAAAAATGTACCAGCTAAGTCATTCTTGCTTCTGTGGCCAGGGACTGCTGCATATTAGTAGTATTAAAGTCTCCACATACATCTGAAAGCTAATGGTACAAAAGTGCTGTATTGAAGAAGAAAATTTGGCTGCTAATCTTCATAACATTGCTAGGAAGAAATCACTGACTAATGAAAACAATATAGTAACTGTCCCAAACACTGACTTTAGCTGCAGTGGCAAATCAAGGAAATCTGAGAACTACAGGTACTGCCATCACCTTGTATAATATTTCATAGAAAGATTAGAGTGGGTGATACTTGATTTTGAGAATATCACCAATTATGTGTTTCTGGAGGAAAAAATTGATAATCTTTTTAAGGGAGGTTGTCACCTGATGCCTCCACTTACCAGAGGATCGACACTCTGGTAATTGATTTTTTGGGGTTTGATTTAGTGTGTCTAGGAAAGACCCATCTAATTGAATGCTGAGGGCTCCTCCATTGGTGCTGGTACAGCTCGCTGTCATGAGCACTAAGGGAAGTCAATGGGAGCATTTCTGCTGTTAACCTCCTTCTGTGGAGATCACTCCAAGCTCAGCTTAAGGTATATTGACTCCAGCAACATTATTTATGTAGCTGAAGTTGCATACCTTAAGCCGACTTTCCGGGTGCAGTGTAGACTTGGCTTTAGGGACGACTTGATGATCTCCAGGTGTAAAGTTCATAATATATCTGTCTACCTTTAATCTGCTGTAACAGATTGTGACTCACCACCATGGCACCTCCTGCTGGTCTGCTTGGGAATTAGCTCTTTAGCCTTAGAGAGCCTTCTGCTGGCAGTGTCTTGTCCTCATTTACCTGTCTTCTGCTGCACTGGTTCAGACCCTGTGTTCCTTCCTGCCCACAGTGCCCTTTCCTCATGGTACTGCTCTACAGCAGTACCCCTGCTCTCTGGAGTTCTCCCCTCCCAAGGAACCCCAGTCCACTGTAGCCACCTTGCCTCAGTGATCCACTGCCAGTTGACATCTAGTCCCTGCCTCAGGCAAACTGTAGTCTGAGATGGTCACTCATCATTGGCAAGGGGATGGACCTGCTGCCTTCTGCTGCCCTGGCTGCCTCCCTGCAGCCCTTGTACCCCTCAGGCCTTGAGAGTAAGGCCTTAGCCTGCAAGCTTGCCTGACCAGCGCACCCCAGCTCTGCCTGCCCTTCCCTAGCCCTGTTGTGTGTCGGGTGCCCTCTCTAG